CAGGGCTGGGGGAACCTTGCTTATGAGCAAAGTTGGGTTTGCTGAGCATGGTCTCGTTTCCTAGGAAGTACAGCGTAGAGGAAGAGGACGGGCTCCGTGAGAAATGAGGTGAAGTTTTGTGTTAGGTTTTTGAAAGTTGGCAACTTTCTGAAGGACTGAAGATCCTCAGTGTCAGTTTTAGATGCTATCTATTCTCTCACTGATACTAAGTTGGAAGGTTTCCCACAGGGCTGCAGTTGTCCCTCTTAATTCCCTTTTTGAGGAGCTATTGCAGAGCTTGGAAATTTATTTTAAGAACAACCTGAACAAACCTCACCCTCACAGCTGCTAAACTTCTTGGACTACCTATTTTAATAATAGATAAGACCTTGTGCTCCTAAATTAATTAACAGTTCTTTCCCAGTGGAAGTTCCTGGCACCTTCATTTTTTCTTTAAATAACCAACAATAACAACAACCAGCATTAGGGGAAGAGGCAATTTGAAGTGGACTTATTCAACTGGCCTGCTGAACTGTCTGATTGTAGAGAAATGCCCCTAAACCCTGAAGGTAGTGATGCTATTTCTCTTCCATTTGCAGAAAATGTTTCCAGACAGCTCATTTCTACGTAGAAGACAGCAGTTCTCCTCGGGTGGTACCAAACGAAACCGTCCCCATTATTCCCATCCCAGGTAAGAAAGGCCTTGCCTCATTCATTTATGCCTTGGTTTGATCATAGATGCAACCATTTGAATTTGCTTATACTGGTTTGGTTTGGGTATAATTAAAATCAGCTGCTCTTCACAGTCACTGATTTCTTCGTATGGTTTAACCTATTGTGATTTTTGTACAGTACGCCTATTTCTGTACAGTAGTTGGTTAAAATAAAGTAAAAGGCTTTGTATGGAGTTTTAACTTTTGTCTTCTTTGGATGAAACTCTCTTGATGATTTCACAAAGGAAACCTCCGTACATCATGCAGAATTTGTCTTTTCTGACTCCAACATCTTGTCCTGAATGAGTCTTTACTCTGCCTATCTTTTCTACTGAAGTTCAAAATCTTCACCTTAATGCCCAATAAGGGTAAATGGGCAGCAGCATCCTGTGTATTTATGCTCAGAAGAAAGCCTTGGTCAATGCAGTGCCAGTTCTTCCATCTCAATACATATAAGGATTTTGACACAAACAGTATTCTGATTTAGGAAAGACAAGCTCTTGGATATATATTTCTGTTTGCTATGATACTGCCATACAGGTAGTCATCAGCTCCCAGCATTTTAATTTAATTCCAGCTGAAAAAAATGAATCAGTGAACATCTTTTTATATAACAAATGAAGTAGCTTTATTTGGGGTGAGCAGAATTACAGCCGTTCAATATTGTAAATCTTTTTGGACTTTGACAGTTTTAGCTCAATGCTAAGAATATACTTAGGATTATTCTACTTGAGTATAAACATATTTGGCTGTCATTTTTATTTAGGAATTATTTGCATGTTTTATCTTTTCACAGCTTGTTCATTCTTTTATTGTTGATGGCTTAAAATAATTCTGTATACAATGGTTTTTTTTTGTGAATATGAGTTGAATTCTGCTGATGGGAAGGTTTGATTATTGCTGTATACTGTTTTTAATTCCTTTAAAAATGAAGCCTAAATGTATATTTCAAAGCGATTATGGAAAGTCATGGTTTTTCTCTAACAGGTTGTAAAGGGTATTGTAATAAGTTTATGTTACTGTTTTTTTTTTCTTTTTGAATATAATGTACTATATTGGGTAAAGAACTCAGTGGTGTGAGCTTTGCAGTTACTAGATTAATTGATCAATAGTGTTCAGAGATAATAAAAAAATGAAAAGTTGTTATTAGTTCATCCAGCCTGGGTCCAACATGGTGGCCAGGAATTATGGGAGCTGAATTCCAACACATCTAAAGAACATCAAGTTGGGAAAAGGGTGATCCACTCCAAGTTACAAACGAAAACTGTGAAAACTCTGTGAAAACCCCCTTTGACTCTTTTGATAAATCTTTAAAAATAATTACAATCCAATTATGTCATATAAAGATAAACAAATTCAAAGTTTGTATGAATTGATGACTTCCATTAGCATTTCAGATTATGAAAGTTTTATAATACTGATGAATGGAATATATTCTCTTTAAAATGGTCACCTGAGCATACATGCATGGAGGAGTCACTTGGAATTTTGTCACTGAAAGTTGATCTTGTTAGCTGGATATCAAAAATCTTTATAAGATTGTCTCCAAAAATGGTCTCTGGGTAAACTAATCTGACATAGCTTTTCTTCATGTATGTTGTCCTGCTAGGTGTAAAATATATATCAGAATTATCTGGAACTATACAAGTTATCGCAGTGTATTAATGTCCTTCCTTTCTCTATAACATTCTTCTCACCTTATTGTGTAGCACAACATTATATCATGTAATCTTCACCCCTAGAATGTCAGAAATTGCATAAATAATCGTCTCCAACTTGGCAGTTCCTATGCATTGAATTATAAGTTTACTATAAGTTGTTTCTGTTTACCATATTTTTGTGAAATACATAAATTACCTTACAAAAAATGATCAAGAGGAGCTACATATTCAAAGGGTTTAGGCTGAAGGAGCTTTTCAGCTGTTGTGACAAAAGACTCATACCAACTGTTTTCCCAGTTAAAAATCTACCAAGATATGAAAAACCAGAATGCTAGGGAATAAATTTCTGATCCAGCTCTTTATTTCATATGCTAACGTATAAAAAGTAAACCAACTGAAAAATTTTGAAACGTACACTTTTCCCTCCTACTGTTTAATGCAGAAACCCAAGCCACTGTACAACATCGTTCTGTAGTAGTCTTCTTTCTTAGATATATAGGACTAGATCTTTAATCATCTCCAACCAGCAAGGCCATTGAGGTTGATGAGAAGGATAATGTAGCATGACTAGAGGATAGGTTACAGACCCCTGCAATAGAGCAGGCTTGTTGCATACCAGAAGGAAGCACCTGATCTTGGATTCACTCATAAGAAGGACTGGGTGTTTTAAATGATGGCTACTTGCAGTTTTTCTTTGTGCATTTGTTTTTGTACTTTCTTGAGTCTGCTGACCAACTCCCCTTTTTATGGGGAGAAGTGGAGTATAGTGATCTAAATAGATGATTAAACAACATTTTGGAAATAAGCGGTAGGCAATTCATTAATAAGTAATATTCCTATTGGGGTTGAAGTTCTTTATCTAATTCTGTGCCCTAAAATTTCATAACCCCTCTCTCTCTCACACACACACACACAATTATTAGGAATTTATAATATAAGTGAAATTAAGGGAAATGATCTTTTACATGTAAGAATATGGTCATGTTTAGAGCAGATATTGAAATCAGGAACTTTATGTCATTGTTCTCTCTTCTGCAGTGGTCAGACCCTAGTTACAATATTTCATCCCATTGAGGGCATCAAATGATCAACTGGACTGTGTCCAGAGGAGATCAGCCAAAATAAATGGGAAGGTGCCTCTTTCTGATTTACTCCCACCTTGCATAGAAACTATAAAGGAGATTGTTGTCTCTTGGTAGACCTAGTATCTGCCCTGAAAGTTTCCAGCTTTAATGAAATAGCAATTTGTAAGTAGATTATTCAAGTAGAATACCCAGAATGAGGTACAGTATCTACAAACATTTGGATAATACAGAAAGGACCGAGTCGTGCCTTTGCGGCCTCTGACCCGACGTAGGTCTCGATTGGCTCCCTGGTTTACCGAGGAGCTGAGAGAGATGAAACGTCGGAAAAGAAGCCTAGAGAGCAGTTGGAGGGCCAGCCGAACCGAACCCAACCGAACACAGGTTAGGACACATATTAGATCCTACCTAGTGGCGATGAGGGCGGCTAGGACTAACTACTATTCCTCGCTCATCGCGTCATCAGATAACCGCCCGGCCGCCCTCTTCAGGGTGACCCGCTCTCTCCTCCAATTGGGGGGGGGACCCCCTGGAGGGGAGGGCCGAGGACTTTGCGCAATATCTGCATGACAAAGTCGCGCGGATCCGGGAAGGCTTGGACTCCGATTGGTTGGCCCAGGGGGAGGGGATGGAAGCAGGTCTTGAGACGATTGTATGGGAGGAGTTTGACTCTGTTGCTCCCGAGGACGTGGACAGGGTCTTGGGAGGGCTGAACGCAACCACATNCAGGGCTGGGGGAACCTTGCTTATGAGCAAAGTTGGGTTTGCTGAGCATGGTCTCGTTTCCTAGGAAGTACAGCGTAGAGGAAGAGGACGGGCTCCGTGAGAAATGAGGTGAAGTTTTGTGTTAGGTTTTTGAAAGTTGGCAACTTTCTGAAGGACTGAAGATCCTCAGTGTCAGTTTTAGATGCTATCTATTCTCTCATTGATACTAAGTTGGAAGGTTTCCCACAGGGCGGCAGTTGTCCCTCTTAATTCCCTTTTTGAGGAGCTATTGCAGAGCTTGGAAATTTATTTTAAGGACAACCTGAACAAACCTCACCCTCACAGCTGCTAAACTTCTTGGACTACCTATTTTAATAATAGATAAGACCCTGTGCTCCTAAATTAATTAACAGTTCTTTCCCAGTAGAAGTTCCTGGCATCGTAATTTTTTTTTCTTTAAATAACCAACAATAACAACAACCAGCATTAGGGGAAGAGGCAGTTTGAAGTGGACTTATTCAACTGGCCTGCTGAACTGTCTGATTGTAGAGAAATGCCCCTAAACCCTGAAGGTAGTGATGCTATTTCTCTTCCATTTGCAGAAAATGTTTCCAGACAGCTCATTTCTACGTAGAAGACAGCAGTTCTCCTCGGGTGGTACCAAATGAAACCGTCCCCATTATTCCCATCCCAGGTAAGAAAGGCCTTGCCTCATTCATTTATGCCTTGGTTTGATCATAGATGCAACCATTTGAATTTGCTTATACTGGTTTGGTTTGGGTATAATTAAAATCAGCTGCTCTTCACAGTCACTGATTTCTTCGTATGGTTTAACCTATTGTGATTTTTGTACAGTACGCCTATTTCTGTACAGTAGTTGGTTAAAATAGAGTAAAAGGCTTTGTATGGAGTTTTAACTTTTGTCTTCTTTGGATGAAACTCTCTTGATGATTTCACAAAGGAAACCTCCGTACGTCATGCAGAATTTGTCTTTTCTGACTCCAACATCTTGTCCTGAATGAGTCTTTACTCTGCCTATCTTTTCTACTGAAGTTCAAAATCTTCACCTTAATGCCCAATAAGGGTAAATGGGCAGCAGCATCCTGTGTATTTATGCTCAGAAGAAAGCCTTGGTCAATGCAGTGCCAGTTCTTCCATCTCAATACATATAAGGATTTTGACACAAACAGTATTCTGATTTAGGAAAGACAAGCTCTTGGATATATATTTCTGTTTGCTATGATACTGCCATACAGGTAGTCATCAGCTCCCAGCATTTTAATTTAATTCCAGCTGAAAAAAATGAGTCAGTAAACATCTTTTTATATAACAAATGAAGTAGCTTTATTTGGGGTGAGCAGAATTACAGCCGTTCAATATTGTAAATCTTTTTGGACTTTGACAGTTTTAGCTCAATGCTAAGAATATACTTAGGATTATTCTACTTGAGTATAAACAGATTTGGCTGTCATTTTTATTTAGGAATTATTTGCATGTTTTATCTTTTCACAGCTTGTTCATTCTTTTATT